AGTACCTTGAGGAATACGAAAAGTGACTTACGAATCGTTCAGAAACAGGTAAAACTAAGTAAGAGGAACTTAATTTCCATTTAATTTTCCATTCTCATCAAGCTCAGTTTATTCAGGTCTGATTAATTAATTCCTGTAAAGTGTTCTGAAAATATAAAACACTTCATAAATACTAGATAATAATAGAGTACTTAAGGAAAAAATAATTTGCTAATTTGCATGGAGTTTTAGGAATTAGCATTTATTTCTTTTCCCTACCTAAGCAGGCCCACCCAATCCCTTTTAGCTATCAGAAAATGCTCTGGCAGTTACAGGATAATGCATCTTCACATATTTTATGTGCCACAGTTCACAGAAAACAAATTCAGAATGACTTGCAAAGTTGTACTTACAGAGGAATACACACACAGACAGTTTTCATTCCCTTTCAAGTCCACTCTCCCTCTTACCAGGAACCTAGGTGCACAGCTTCTGTGGTTAAACAGCAGTCTGCTACATTCTGAGCTCTGTGTTTTCTCAGCCTGTTGTCCAAAGAACCTAAAACTTCACTGACCACTTCTAAAGCAGTCTGGAATAAAGTCACTTAAGACAGTATCATGTATCATCCATCCTTATATCTGGGTATCTTATGATGCCTTGTCTCAATACATGTATTTTTATACCTCTACAGCTGTACAAGAGGACAACTATTCATGTATCCAATTTTCATGCTCAGAAATGGTGAATTTCATGATCTAGCCTTATCTACAGAAACAAAACCTTCCAGGAACTACACACCGACTACTGGTATAAGCACTCTGGAGATCAGTTAGTATCTAAGCCAAAGGCTAGGTAGGATAGGTATGTGAGGCTCAGAATCCTGTCTGATCATCCCAGCATAAGTCACATTGAACACTAGAGAAAATAAACCATCTGTTTCCAAAGTGGTGTAAAATGCACACAGCAATACCAGCTGGGATCAGATCCTCCATGACGCTGGAAAGGGTGCCAGTGAGACACCAGCACTTGGCGCTCTGGGTTGATTCTGAACTGGTGCTCTACTCGCCTGCTGAACAGAAATCAGGCCACGTTTGGACTGAGCAAAAACTGGTTGGGTTTTTTTGTAGGGTGGACACAGACTGAAAGATACAGCCTACCCTCTTATGTCCCTTCATGTCTCGAAACATTCCCCAAGTAAAACCGAGTGTGTTTTCCAGCACAACTTTGGCTGTACACACACAGAATGGGTCACTTCCACACTCTTCAGCAGCTGAAAATGATGGAAATGACAGCATAGCTTAAAGAGAACATTCCCCACTATGTTCCTCTATAATAAGTGCTATAGGACTGAAGGCTCTCAGCAGGCTTATGATTTAAAGGCAGAGTCATAAGAACAAGTCCACAGAAGTCAACCCTTACGGCAGCAGTGGGGTTATCAAGCTGTCATCCAAATCACCTCCTGAGGGGTGCAGCCTGCACACAGCTGTGATCACCCCTCTCAGTATTTTCTCTTTGTCATGTCAGCTAGGGTTGGCCTGTGCTCCCACGCCACCATCTCTGTGCACAGAGTCTGCATTGCTCACCCAGGAGGAGAGAGAAGACTTCAGAAAGCAAATCCTAAATTACTGGACTGTGCTGTTCCCATCTGGATGTAGTTCCCTTGGAAATCCCAGCTGGCCCTGTGCAGTTGTTGAAACTGGATGTTTCAATTACAAGGATTTGGGGAGCACTGTCAGATGATGCAGAAAGCAGGCTCTCTTTCAACATGGCATTTTGTTTTAATTTCTCTCATCAGTGCAAATGTTTAACTCTTTTGTATTCTAAATGCACTGAATTTGGCCATAAATGGCGCTGAAATTTATTATCTAGAAGATCATTCAAATTAAAAGTGACAGTTTGGGAGGAATTCCCAATATTCCAAGATTGAATTTTAGTCCCCTTCCAAAAAAATATGCAAACCACGCTCCCGCCCCCAAGTATTTTTACAGTAACCACACTGAAAGAAGAACAGTTGGGTTTGTTACACTGATGATTTCTACTTTCCTCACAAGCTGATGAGTTTCCAGTTACTTCCTAATGTCCCTATCAAGGCTTAAGTATCTCTGCTCCTCTTTGGTCACAGCATACAGGCATTGCAGTTTATCACAATGTTCCTCCACTGGGTTAATGTCACATAACCTCACCTCAGGAGTGGGCTGAGAGCAGGCACAGAGCACAGCTGGTGGGTGCTACCCTGGTCTAGACTCTGCCTGGCCCTCCTTCCTTCTGCGCATCCCTAGACACTGTTTATTAATGCACTGCTCATTTGATACCAGAGGACTAGCCAGAAATAATCTGCAATATGAATTCATCACAGCAAGACTGTCTGCTAATATGGAACTATTTTTTGCTACATAATGTGCAAAAATCAACAGTATCTTCCACTTAGAAAAACCCAAAACACCCAAAAAAATGCCTTTCAAGCTTGCTGCCAAATGTACCTGTTAAGAGCATGAGATTTGATGTTAAGGGCTTCATAAACTCACTAAAGCAAAAAACCAGCTCTTTTCATCAGGCTATTATTAAAAGGTTACCATGCATCCTGTATCTTTATCTGCATAAAAAGGCAAACCAAATACGAGAAAAAAATTATCCCCGCCACTATCTCCAGAGTCACCACAGAATAAATTATCTGGGGGCTTGTTCCAATTTCTCCTGTTTAAGAAAGTAGCACAGAAAACAAAGTTAAACTCATGACCAGCTGTACCAGCCAACAGCAATATTCCAAACCATATGGAGGAGGATGGCATTTTATTAGCAGAACTAAAGCGGTCTATAGAAAGAGAACCACACATTGAAGTCCACTTCTGTTGTGCAGGATTTCACAGCTAACTTCTCCTCCACTAAGTTCTTACTGGAACTGACTCAGTCTTCTTACTGGAAGGAAATTTTCCCTCTCCATGACATCAAGCTGCATTTCTCCATGCAAATGCTGGTGTCATTACCACTAGAACATCACAAGATTCTGACAACCCACCAAAACCTTCACTCCTGAAAATCAAGGACTAAATGATGTTTTGCTCAAATCTTAAACTCTCCAAGGAACTCTTATGTTTTCATCTATAAATATTCAATGTTTACAATGAAAGAGTCAGTACAGTGAAAAGGAACAGCAAGCAATTTATGTTCTATGCAACACAAAGGCATGGAAACACACTAGCTTCTGACCCTTCTGGGGGACCAGGGTCCAGGAACTGACAAAACTCTCATTTAGATACCTTTAGGCACTCAGAGGGAGACGGCCTTGCCAAGGAGCCAAGCAGATCTCGAGGAGGAATGAACATTAAAATGCACTTATTCCAGTCAGGAATTCCGGCCCTTAGGAACATGTTTCTGGTCCTGCCAGGCAATGCAGTGCCAGAACCTGCACCACTTAGTGACTGCTAAATGGAGCAGCACAGGAAAATGGCAAACATACAGGAAGGAAAAAGTGTTGTTCCTGGCACTGCTGTCATCAATTTTCCTATCAGCCTTGGTCTGAGCCAGCCAAGGACACTCACAAGCGAAGAAAAGCTCCTGAGAGCCCCATTTAAGGATTAAGGTCATGAATTTACAAAAAAAAATCTTTTTCCTTTACTCAGTGGTTAGTTTAAAATGACAAAGTATTGGAGATTAGATTAGCTCCACTTTCAATTCAGGTTCAGCCTCAGATTTTGTCCAAGGACATCTAGAGACAGCGGAAGTGGCCAACATCTGTCATAACTGCAAAGAGATGAAATGAAGCCCTGGCAGAGACAGTAGCAAAGCTCTGATCCAACATCCACAATGGGCTTTTGGGTTGGATTTTCTTTTCTGTCTGTGGTGTTCTGCACGGCACAAACTCTAGGCTGTCCACTTTAAACCAGCAATGCTATGTGAAAGCTTGCTCATGCACCATATTCTGTCTTTATTATACCTGATTCACCATTCCTACTAGATAATTTAATCCACACAATTAGAGTTTTGTTTCATCTCCTACATGCTTCAAAAGAAAGGGCTAGAGGAGAATCCTCTATTGACTATCACCAGGGCTGCCAGTAAGTGTAACCTTTGCAAGCATTTTTCCTTGCTTCTGTCCCAGTAGGAGAAGCTAGTAGCCACACAGAGGAAATCACCATTATTTCTTGGTTATATGGAAGAATAGAAAGAAAACCAGCACAGACTGACTCAGAAAGGAAGGGCAAATGTTTGTGAGAAAGTGAGATATTACCAGAGTGTCCCTGAAAGAACTGGTATAACATCCAGGTTCTCTGGCTGTCTCTATGGTTTTACAGCAGAATATCACCACTGAAATAACTAGTCACGTGTAAGCTTAAAGCACTAGTACTGAAAAGTCCATCAGACCCAAATGCAGGCCAAAGGTCCCTCCCAAAAGAGGTGCATTTGATTTTTAAAAGGAGATATTTGCATTTTTTAAATAAACCATCAGCTTCAAGCTTTCTGCACACGTACACCTTAAACCCTGCCTGGAAAACATGGCCAACACCTCCATCTTCACAAAGCATTTTGTCCTTTCTCTGTAACTCCAAATGGACCTTCTGTCAAACTGACACTTTGCAGCTCACTAGGCTGTGTGGCTCTTTGGGGAAAAGCAAAGCAGAAAACAGTCCAGTTGTTTGGTTTAGCAATGAAGTTTCCCACACATGCATGCCAATTTATTTCACTGAAAATGTCCCAACTAATTGCAACATTTACCCTTGGAGCACACGCGTGGCAGTCACATTAATACACCAGAAGACAATGGCTCCAGAGGAGCTATTACCCTGTACCAGGCCAATAATCCACAAACAGTAAAGGATTTTCACAAAAGATTCAAATGGTTTCCAAGGAGCTGTTACAGCATATCAGGTAAATAAAATATTATTGAAATGTATTTTTTGCATTTAAATCACTTGCAGCAGGTGCATAGGAAGTAGCATATAATAAAATGGCTCACATTCCCTTGAATACTAACGAGAATCAACGGAAACATTTAGCAAGAAGCAGCAGCAGCAGGTTCTTACCATGGCAAGAGGAACGATTCCCACGAACATCGTCCGGCTGACAAAGATCTCGGAGACCACCAGTTCGCTCAAGGAATCATCTCGAGGGTATTCCACCTGCCAGGTGATTTGCTGGGGCCCTGCCAGGCTGCTGGTGTTGTCAATCTCAAAGTCCATCTCCAGGATCTCAAAGGAGGACATGTTCGCTCTGGAGAAAAGAAACAACAGAATTTCCCAGAACATCAGCAGGATGTCACAATGTCACAACGTGCATTTTGATTTCTCCTCTGTTCACCAGAAGATTCACCATTAACTTCAACACGCACACTTGAAGACACTGACAGAAACCTAAATAAAACTATATACTGGGTATAAAGTAGCATAAACAGCTACTTTCTAGATAAAGTAACACTGTATCTTTTAGTTTCCTGAAATGGAGGCATTTTTCCCATGAAACTGTGATATTCATTTGCCATAATCAGAATGAACGTACAGAATAAGCCCCAAAACCTGGGAACTGCATTGCACAGATGCTGCTAAATTATTTAATATAGCATTATTATAATTTTGTTTCTGCAAATTCTGATGCTGTGAAACAATAGAATACTTGGCCATTCCTCATGCTGTATCAGAAATGAGCTCTAGGCAAGGGGTGGGGGGCAGTCTCAGACTCAAACTTTATCTCAGTGGAAAAAAATGGATTTGCAGAAATTATACACAACAAAAAAATGGGAGCAGATTATCCTTGTTTTCAATTCATGAAAACATTCTTCTCATTAGTGCTTCAGCCTTGTAATTACATGGTGATCACTATATATTTCTCATCTGGAAATAAAAGTTTGAAGGTAAAGAAATGGATGAAAATGCAGAACATTCAGAACTGTGTTTAAATTATTTCTGCTTCTTTTGTTAACAACAACACTCAGCACTCTCCTCTGGTCAAACACTATGTAAATATTAATAATTAATCCTCAGGTTAGAAAGACAGATCTTCATGTTACAGAGAAGAAAACAGACACCAAGATTTAACCACCAGCACTTGCTGTATCCACAGCAGAGCCCTATTTAGGAAACAGACTGTGCTCACCCAGCGCTTTACTTCCACAAAAATTAAGGTCGTTTACAAAGCAGCATGCAAGTTCCTGCCCCAAATTCCCAGACAGACACCTGCAGCGTGGCGCGCTGGTGCACTTACAGGGCATGGATGCTCTTTCCAGGGACGGAAAGGCAGCGAACCTGACTGCAGACCCAGTCGCTTAATTTCACACCGTCAAAGAGACAATCAGTGTTGCCAGTGTTACTGAAGTTTCAGGGTATGTGCTCATAAAATAGGTTAAAATCTGAATTTGCAGTATTTTAGGCCACTCTGTATTGACTTGAATGGGCTCTTACTGTGAGCATGAGATCACTGTAGTGATAGGAGAAGGGGTAATGGGTTAAAACTTAAACAGAGGAAGTTTAGATTGGATATAAGGAGGAAATTCTTTCCTGTTAGGGTGGTGAGGCACTGGAATGGGTTGCCCAAGGAGGTTGTGAATGCTCCATCCCTGGCAGTGTTCAAAGCCAGGTTGGACGAGGGCTTGGGTAATATGGTTTAGTGTGAGGTGTCCCTGCCCATGGCAGGAGGGGGGTTGGAACTGGATGATCTTGAGGTCCTTTCCAACCCTAACTATTCTATGATTCTATGGCTTGTTCCCGATACAGGGCAGTGTCCCATGCGCGAAGGCAGCCCTCAGATATTATTTCACCCTCCATCCTGTTCCCCAGTACATTGTGTGTCATCACTCTAACAGCTGTGTTCATAAAAAGTTTTAGCCTCTGCTACAAAGAATAGAGACTTAAAACATCCTTTTCCTTTTCCCAGCTGCACAGAGGCAGAATCTGGTTGTGCCATATGTTTCTGAAGGCACATTGTAAAGGAAAAAACCAATCTGAACAGGAACTGATTTTTATGTTTTCTTTCTGACAACAAACACCACAAGCATATGATTCAATGCCTGGAGGATAAATATTTTCCATGCTGACACAAGACAATAACCACCTCCAGGCAAAACTAGAAGCTATTGAGGCATCTTTTGGGTAGTCAACCAGACAATCAGTAAAACCCTTTTAAGACAAAAATTATTACACAATACTAGGGATTTAATTAAACCATTTCAGTCAAAAACAAGACCACAAAGTAGCGCTCAACTTCATTGTTTTCTGTGTATCACTTCTGGCAGTTTGGTTTATCTAAATCACATAAAATTAATTTCCTCAAAACACAGGAATAAGATTTCAAGATGAGCTTTACACTGACTGTGGATCTAGACACTGGGCCTGTAAGTTATGTGTAGATCTGCAATTGAGCTTCAATCTGTTAAAGTCAGTAGCTGCCACGCACAAAAACACCCTTGTGTGGATTCAAATTTGGAACAAAACCACTGATGGAGAGTTTTGCTTTAGATTCACCACTTAAATAATGTATTAGGTTAACCTTCACTGATAAATCTATTCCACGTGTCCCTCTGATTGGCACTTCTTTGAGCTCAGTCCATCGTGCCTTCCATTATTCCCCTCCTGTTTTAATTTTTACACATCCAAAAAGTAACCACAATAGTGGTTTTATATTTTAAAGACAGACTGGGACTCAGATTTCCCTAAGAAAAGATTGTGCATCTTGACTATATAGCAAGCTGAAGTAATTGCCAGGGAATAAAATGATTCTTGTGCCTCTCAATATGCAAAGACCATCACTGCATCCTTAGCACGGCTGTACAGCTATAAAAGACATAAGTTTCATTTAAAGGCAGACATGGTTATACACTGCCGGATCCGAAATGAGTCTCTGTGCATCCACAAAAGAGCAGCAACTCACATAAATAAACCCTCCTCAGGTCTAACTAATACTAATGTACAAACTAAAGCAAAGCTGACTTCCCAGATCTCCCAGGCCTTTATTGGTCCTGGTGCCAAAGCCAATCCTTACCATCATCTGGAAAAAAAACATGGCTTATCAAATGTTAGCTGCTTTGTCTCAGATGCAAGTCATGGAGCATGACCTGATTAAAGGATCCACTTCTTTTCATTTGGACTTTTGCTGAAAGAAATGGACTTATTGTATCTTAACAGAGGGTAAGTAAATTTTCTCTAAAATTATGATCTCCCTTTTTAGCTCTTCAGCCTTCAAGCAATTCCAAATGCTACAGTATCTGAAACACAGAGCATCCAATGGACTAATCCGCCCTCTTTAAGTCTCTTACAAGCTTACAACAAACCCATGATAAAACCTGAGAAGTGAATTTCTTTCTTGCTAGGACTAGTGCCTTCCTACTGGCTGCTGCATCTCTTATCCTGCAGGGGCTTCTTTCCCTGGGGAAGGCTGGCACTATATGCGTAATTCTTGCCATTTATTAACCATCCTCTATAGCACTATGCAGAAAACAACTGTATTTTTCCACTGAAATTGATGTGGGTTGCTAAAGTAAAACCAGAGATAGATTAAACTATACTCACGACTTTGAAGCTTAGCATTTACTTACATCAGCTTCATTACCTCATAAATCCACATCAAAACACCTGTATCTAAATCTCTCTCCTGGCTATAGAGCATTATACTATAACCAATTTTAAAGGCAGTCACTCCACCCTGCCATGGCAAATCTTCAGCTTTTAGTCTGATCTGTAGCTGGTGGTCAGTATGTTGGTCTTTGAAGTGGATCTACAACTGCCTGGTGAAGACAAAACATTACCAGTGGGAAAATCCACTAGCTGAGAAGACGACAACTGAACTCATGCTGTTATCAGCCATTAAATCCTGCTAATCCAAACTTTATCCTATAAAGATTCTTCAGCTTTTTCTTGGGTCTTATTCCATCTTGCTCTTAAATACACTTGCACCATCAGGAAGAGTCTGATGGATTCCAAGGACTATAAATCACTTCTCCTTTCCACATATTTCCTCTCTTTTTAGTTAAGTATTTCTATTGTCCAGTGATCACAGTTTGGAAGGACTTTGCCAAACCTCAGTTTAGAGGAGCAATAAAAAAATAAAAAGTCAAAATTACTTCTATAAAAAAAGATTATTTCCTGCAAGCACAAGGAAAAGACCTTATAATTTTAGGCAGCTGGCATGCTTGCTAATAAGTCCATTTCTATGGAAATGAGTTCATAACTATTAATTTTGCCTGCTCCTGATCTATTCTTGATGAGCCTTTCAAATTTAGAAAAGCGCTTCATGATTCTCTCAATTTGGTAATTACTAACTCCCTTTGATGAATCCAGCCCAGTGTTTCAGACATGAGACATTCATTACAC